ATAGTTGTAGAGTTGTAATGTACTTATCAAGCCGTGCTTTTTTTTTTCGGTGGCGGCTGTTGCCGTTGGCGCGGGCGAAGCTGCTGGCAGAGCACTTCACAACTTGCGCGTGGATGCTCAGATTTTTCCCCACCCGTAGGACTGTGGGGTTGTTAGATTTTTGGAACTTTGGACTTCAGCACGCACGGTAGCCCAACTTAGCTCTTCCACAACACGCTGGCCAAAGTGGTCCCTGAGTAGCGCAACTTAGATCTTCCATAGCACATTGGCCAAAGTGGCACAGCACACTCACCAAAGTGGTCCCTGAGTAGCCCAAAGTAGCTCTTCCACAGCACACTGGCCAAAGTGGTCCCTGAGTAGCCCAACTTAGCTCTTCCACAGCACACTCACCAAAGTGGTCCCTGAGTAGCCCAACTTAGATCTTCCATAGCACACTGGCCAAAGTGATCCCTGAGTAGCGCAATTTAGCTCTTCCACAGCACACTGGCCAAAGTGGTCCCTGAGTAGCGCGACTTAGCTCTTCCACAGCACACTGGCCAAAGTGGTCCCTGAGTAGCCAACAGTAGCTCTTCCACACCACACTCACCAAAGTGGTCCCTGAGTAGCCCAAAGTAGCTCTTCCACAGCACACTGGCCAAAGTGGTCCCTAAGTAGCCCAGCTTAGCTCTTCCACAGCACACTGGCCAAAGTGGCCCCTGAGTAGCGCAGCTTAGCTCTTCCACAGCACACTGGCCAAAGTGGCCCCTGAGTAGCGCAACTTAGCTCTTCCACAGCACACTGGCCAAAGTGGTCCCTGAGTAGCCCAAAGTAGCTCTTCCACAGCACACTCACCAAAGTGGTCCCTGTTCACCAAAGTAATCCCTGAGTAGTTCAACGTAGCTCTTTGACAGCACACTCACAAAAGTAATCTCTGACTAGTTCAAATTAACTCTTCCACAGCACGCTCGCCAAAGTGATCCTTGTTCACCCAAGTAATCCCTGAGTAGTTCAACGTAGCACTTCCACAGCACATTCACCAAAATGACCTCTAAGTATTGACACCACATTCACCAATCTGATCCCTGAGTAGCTAAACCTAGCTTTTCCACAGCAAATTCACAAACTGATTCCTAAGTAGCTCATCTTAGCTCTTCCACAGCAACCACAGTTCTTAGTAGCGCACCTTAGCTTCTCCACAGCACATTTACCAAAGTGATTCCAAGGTAGTTGTAGAGTTGCAATGTACTTATCAAGCCAACAAAAGCTGCGTTTTTCTCACCCGTAGGCCTGTCGGTTGTTAGGTTTTTTTGAACTTCGGACTTCAGTACGCCCGGTCGCCCAACTTAGCTCTTCTATAGCACACTCATGAAGTGGTCTCTGAGTAGCCCAACTTAGCTTTTCCACAGCACACTCACCAAAGTGGTCCCTGAGTAGCTTAGCCCTTCCACAGCACACTCACCAAAGTAGTCCGCGAGTAGCCCAACTTAGATCTTCCACAGCACGTTGACCAAAGTAATCCTTGAGAAGCCCAAAGTAGCTTTTCCACAGCACGTTCACCAAAGGATCCCTGACTAGCCCAACTTAGCTCTTCCACACCACACTCGCCAAAGTAATCCCTGAGTAGCCCAACTTAGATCTTCCACAGCACGTTGACCAAAGTAATCCTTGGGAAGCCCAAAGTAGCTTTTTCACAGCACGTTCACCAAAGGAATCCCTGACTAGCCCAACTTAGCTCTTCCACACCACACTCGCCAAAGTAATCCCTGAGTAGCCCAAAGCAGTTCTTCCATAGCACACTCACCAAAGTGATCCCTGAGTAGTTCAACGCAGCACTTCCACAGCATGTTCACCAAAGAGATCCCGGAGTAGCCCAAAGTAGCTCTTCCACAGCACGTTCCCCAGAGTGATCCCTGAGTATTCAAGCTAGCTTTTCCACAGCACGTTCACCAAGGTGATCTCTGAGTAGCCCAAAGTGGCTCTTTCACAGCACGCTCGCCAAACTGATCCCTGTTCACCAAAGTAATCCCTGAGTAATTCAACGTAGCACTTCCACAGCACATTCACCAAAATGACCTCTGAGTATTCACACCACATTCACCAAACTGATCCCTGAGTAGCTAAACCTAGCTGCCTAGCTCTTCCACAGCACATTCACAAACTGATTTCTAAGTAGTTCAACTTAGCTTGTCCACGGCAACCGCAGTTTTTAGTCGCGCAACTTAGCTTCTCCACAGCACATCTACCAAAGAGATCGCAGGATAGTTGTAGACTTGTAATGTACTTATCAAAGCAGTTTTTTCCCCACCCGTAGGACTGTGGGGCTGTTAGATTTTAAGAACTTTGGACTTCAGTAGACTCGCTACTTCTGCACATCCACCAGAGTGGTCCCAGCGTAGCTCAGAGCAACCCAAAGAACACAGCACATCCACCAGAGTGGCCCACAGTGGCCCAGAGTAGCCCTTACATTCACCAGAGTGCTCCCAAGTACCAGTTCCACAGCATATCCACCACAAGTTGACTTGGCAGGGATGCGGGGTTGCCAGGCATTAAAATATCGAAGTTCAGAAACCTCACAAGTAAGTACTCGATGTGTGGTTTTGTTTTCAATAAAGAATCCTTTTCGCACCGAACCGCTTTTCTCTTGCGAAGACCAATTCTTTGAGGGTGGGGAATTTCGAAGTAAAGTAATTTTCCAGGTAGTAGGACAGACCCCAAAGGTCAAAAGAACTGAAGCCCATAGGGTCCAGTACCTCCTTTTCGGATGGTCGAACGGAGGTGAGTTCGTACTTCCAGAGAATGGTCGAACGGGGGGGGTCGGACATCCGAGCAACGGATGGTGGACCGAAGGTGATCCAAGTCTAAGGTCTCCAACGCCCAACCAAGAGAGGCATCCAGTGACCGTACATAGGACCCTACCGGGGTACCGAACTGGGATAGTCTATAAGGTCATTCAACCTGTGTTGGAAGGGCTGTGCCACATGGATGGAACATGCTGAGAACTTCCGCTTGGGCATGCCCTGCTAAACAACAACAACATGACTCCACTGCTTCACTGCCCACTTGGTGCGTAGAAGGCACAGCCCAGTGAGCTCCAAATGGTGAGGTCATCTTCAAACCATCGAGAGCGCAGAATGAATTTGCGGAACAAGTGCCATGAACAAAAGAGCTTGAAGCTGCCAATCGTGTTTTGTTCGTTCTATGCCATCTGGATCTACTAGGCTTTGTTTCAACGTTACCAGATTGGATCAGGATCAAGGCATGAATGTGGAAGACATGAACAGGTGTTCCCCCAGTGGGTGCCCATTATCACGAGTGACAAGAGGTCGGAGTGACAAGAAAAGGAGTCCAGAGTTTGGTCATGGCTGAGGTTTTGTTCTTAGATCGCAGGGCCGTGGTGGCCAGTCTGGAGTAGGTGCCATGCTTTCTTCTTGATGCGCCCGCTCTATTGCATCCTGGCTGGATGCTTCAACAAAACATGTTGGATCTCTTGCAATATTGCAACCTGAATGGAAGCACACATATTCATACATATTCTAGGTAAAGAAACCATTCTTTGGTGTGCTGCTTCCTCACATACTATGAAAGTAGAAGCTTCAAACCCCAAATTCCCAGCCACTTCCGGCCAGGTTCCCCGCTGTCTTTTGCGCAGGACTATCACACGCCGGGGCATCGTACCCCTTGAAACCGCTGTCTTTCGCTGTGAACGTGGGCCACAGGTCCTTGAATTCCCGCAAGCCGCGCGGGGCGACCAACGGTCACCAACGGTCACCAACACTCGGTGGGTTGTGAATGACCAACTGGTGTGGTCGACCTATAGGAGTCCCATCCGACCCTGGTCCGTCTCAGTTCAGCCACACATGCGAGTTTGACCCTTGAGTCGCCTCAGTAACCCTAGGGCTCCAGTCGTACCTCCTCAGATCAGAAGGTATTTGGACCCTCTGAACCCACCCCAAACACCTGAGAAGGGACTTGGAGCCCTAGGGTAATCATTCGGGTGCTTTTTCAGGTCATTGAATACTTCTGTTGGAGGTGGAGTTGCTTCGGCTTCGGCTCTTCCTTTTCCCAATCGATGTTTTCCATCGAGGTTTGGAGGGTCTGGACCGAACCTGAGAAGGTACACATGTCATCCCTAGGGCCCACGTTGTGGGCAGCCTGTCTGGTTGTCACGCATGATGGTTCTGGCTACTTGAACCTGAGAGAACGGACGGCAGAATCAACTTGCCGTGGCGGCACGGTTCGCCATTGAACGCAGGCGAAGGCGCAGGCGAAGGCGCAGGCGAAGGCGCAGCAAGCGACGAGCTTCGCGGGACCGCTGCCACGAAGCGATGAAATCATTGGGTAACTCATTCTAACCTAATTGATGCCAATGGTTCCCCCCGAAGAAAAAAAACACACATGGAGAGCCTGCAGAGCTTTGTCATTGACCCAGAAGAGATGGACAGCCTGTGCTCTTGCCATGTCTCTCATTAGCGATGACTCCATGCGCCTGCGCCTCCGCCTCATCCGTCCGACGTCTCCGAATGGCCTCGGAGACCGCGCGTGCCTTCACCGCTTCTTCGCGGCCAACAGGGCTCCGGCCACGCCCAGGGTCGTGCACAGCACGGCCAGGCCCACGCGGCCGGAGCGCACTGAGCCGCGCCGAGCTGGCGGCCAGTCCTGGGGACGGATGGCGGCGGCGAAGTCCAAAGAGTTAGACCCCAAGTCCGGTGGTTTGTGGTGCCAAGAGAGGTTAAGTGACCTAATTATAGGACCCTACTAGGATACCTATGGGCTGGTCTATAGGGTTCTTCAACCTGTTGGTGGTTTGGATTGAGAGTGTAAGTTACTCCAGCCCCACTGCGAATTTCATGAAGCTCCACTGCGTACAGAAGTGAAGGAATCTCCCTTTTTTCAGGTGACCAATGGACGAAAAGCACGCACCTCTTCGAAATAAGGGGGAGCTCTCTCTCTCTCTCGCTTTGATCCTCTCCATCCTCCCCATCAGTCTTCTTGGGGGACGCGTCGCCTCCCATCACGCCGTTGGGTCCCTATCCCAGACACGACCTGTCTGGGACTGCCATAGGACTGCCGATCAGGCCAGGGGTGGTGCCAGGGGGTTCCTGGCTGGAGGTCCCGAATAGTGGATCTTGATGGTGTAGGGGCTTCCAGCCAGGAAGGTGCTGGTATATTCCTCATGGATCTTAGAGGGATATGATATAATAATTAGTTAGGGTGACAAAGGAAAAAAGACGATCCGCCAAACCCCCGGCTGAATTGGCCGTGTAAGCTGCGGTAGTCTTTCTGCAATTTTTTAGATATAATTGTTTGGGGGCTGAGAACGGAAGCCTATGAAATTCCAACAGCCACTGGTTTGTATTGGTCTTGGCCAAACCAACCCTTGTAAACAAGGGCCCTAGGCACTACAAACCATGACCAAACCCAGGTCCACCTTGCCTCGAGCTCGCTGGCCTCGAGTTCGGACGCCCCGAGGACGCGCCGCGCTCGCCAAGCCAAGGCGGCGATCGCCCTAGGGGTTTGCCCCGAGGTCCCGGTGACTGCCTGGTAGACTCCATGGGCTCCGGGACTGAGGACATCCGAGGACACCCGGGGACGAGTCAGTGAGTGAACAAACGGTGCTTCCCAGTCCGTCTGGGGGTTTTGACTCACGGACACCCGGCGCGCAAAAACCATCTGGACTCAGAGTGTCCAATCCTATAAAAACTCCCTTCCTCCATCTTTGGTTTGATGAATCCAAAAGATACATTAAATTCCTAAAGACCATTTTTAAAATGGTTGATCTGGTTTTGTAGTGTAAAACCCTTAGTAAAACAATGGTGGTTCGGGATTCGGGCTATTAAAACAATGGTGGTTCGACTTCCAGGGGAAACCCAGCCCAAGCACCTCCACCGTCACCTCCTGCTGTTTTCCCCCCCCGCCCGGCCTTCACCGTCGGCTGTTCCGGCTCCGGAAGGGGCTCCAGAGCACATGCAGCGCGCGGAACGGGGCGTTCGTGGCTCACACGCTCCATGATGCAAAGGCCCGGGCCAGTGAAGGCCTTCGCGCGCCTGCAAAGGATGGGGGAGAAGAAGGTGGATGGGTGCAGGGAGAGGGGTTAGTATGGTTTGTTTTGGTTGGGGTTTGCTTGCTTGTTGGTTTCTCTTTTCTGCCAGGGGGATGACCACTTAGTACGCCCCACTGAAGGGTCTTTCGGGTGGCATTCGACTGATGCGTTCGACGGGTGAGGGAGGCGATGTGAGGGGCCAGTGAAAGCAGTGATGGTCAGTCAGTCTTCAGAAAAGACCGGTTGTGCACTGTGCACTGCACGAGCTTTGAGCCTTCACCACCGTCGCGTTCTCCAAGACAAAAACGGAGGTGTGTCGTTTCTATACCCAAACACTCCATGGGACGGCCAGTCCGCCGATCAAGCCAGACCGGCACCACCACCCCAACGGCCGGCCGTGCCATGACGGACTGGTCCGGACTGGCCGTCCCAGACAGGTCGTGTCTGGGATACGGTTTGACCTGGGAAGGTCTGGAACCTCAAACACCTTGGTGCGATCGATGCGATCCCGCTCCCTCCGGTGTCTCAGGATCCTCCTCGCGAGGATACGGCGTGGGGCGTAGCTGACTCAAGCGCGCCTCATGGCAGAGCCTGAAGGTCCACAGAGGTGCAACTGCCCATCCTCAATCTTGAAGATATAGGGGATCGCCGGTGGGGGACAGCTACTCCTTGGACTGCGTAGCTGGATGCGGCTGGGGGTGAGAGGAGTCGGGTGAGAGCGGTGCGGCGGGGCTGGTTCAGAGCTTTGAGCAGTGACCCATGAGGCAAAGATTTGGCCAACATGGGTGATCTGTCTTCCAACTGTGGGTTTTGATTTGGGAGATCTGTCTCCTAACAGCGTAATTTTCACTTGGGAGATATGGAAGTGATGTGGAGATGTCGGGAGTTCGCCATAACAGATCCCCCTCGTGAGCTTGTTGTGAAGTTAGGCCTGACTTCTGCGGACCCATCGGCTCTAAGCCGTTGGCACTGTCAAAGCGGCTCAATAACACCACCGGATGTGGAGTTACACAGGCCGTTGTGCATGAATGGCTCAAACAGGAGGTCTTCCAACAGAGGTTTTTCAGAACCCGACTCTTCGACTCTCCCAGGAGTCCCGGTACCCCAGGTGTTCCGGTACCCGCCGTGAACCTCGGACCTTGCTCGGCCTGAGCCGCCCCCCCCCGGTAGGGCCGATCCGTCGGAGAGGTGAACGGCCGGGTTTTCCCACGGCCGGGGGCGGCGAGACGCAGCCGGGAGGCCGTTCAGGGAAGACCACAATATCCTCGGCACACCGAGTCGGAGAGCCAAGTATCACTAGTCCATATAAGGAGCGTCTGGAAGTGGAGAGTTCGAAGAATGACCGGCGTCAAAGGTGCTGTCGAACAGTTTCAATGTTCCATCCATTGTAAGTCGTTAATCCCTAGGGCTCCTGTCCCATATCCTCAGGTTCGGTGGTTAGACCCCCCTGGCACCCACCCCAACCATCTTCGAAACGGAGGTGGGCCAGGAGCCCTAGGGTTGACTCACTTTGGCACAGTCAGACGGGGAGGACCTCACACGGCAGGACCTGCCTCAGGCTTCTGGCACCTCAGGTCGGTACCTCGTGGTCTCGGCGGGGGGTCACGGGTCAGGGTCACCGAATGTATTAAAAACGTGGGTCACCAGGCTACTAACCAGGCTGGAAGCCACGGAAACCATTTCACAACAGCTGGTGCAAGTACCACTGTAAAAAGTAGCGCGACTTGCAGACTCATGTCCGTCACGGCCGGATTGGCAGTGATCAAGTGACGGAAAAAGACACGAAAAAATACCCAGACACTCCATGTATGCCATATATGCCTACATTGACCCCCAAAACCACCCCAATGTAGGCATATATGGCATACATGGAGTGTCTGGGATAGGATTCTCAATTCGCTGCTTTATGACCTCACCGACCAAGTCTTTATGAGCCACCTCTTCTCGAGCGATTGAGTGAGCCCCCTATTGTATGGATGCCACAAGCTCTAGAGAGCTGGGAGAAACCTTGGTTTACCGAAGCATCCCTGCAACAAACAAAGAGGTTCTCGTTCCATTCGGGTTGACCTTCTGAGCCAAGCACGCTCACAAACGGCTCAAGAAGTAGAGCAATATTAATATCGCTAGGTTTCGCTTCGACAATTCAAAGAGTTCGGTTGACCTGGGTTTTTTGTAGTGCAAAATCCTGAAACAATGATGGTGGTTTGGTAAAGGCAATTAAAACAATGGTTGTTGGAAACTTAGGGTATAATTAGCATAGTAATGCATAGTAAGTCACAAACATAGGTCATCGATCGTTCTGCGCCTCTTATAGCACTATATATTATATATTCAACAGCACTCTCCTCTTCCAAAAACTGACATAAACCAGCTGATGCCGCACAAAGCAGACGCCGGATCGATCGTACTGAGTCTTCTTGTTTCCCGAGGGACGAGTTCACAGGGTTCCACCGAGCAGTTCATGTGCACTTCCGCAGGCATCTGGCGGTTCAAGACCGTCACGCTGGCCGTCACACAGTCGTTCTTAAACCTAGTGCGAGAGGCCGAGCGCGGGAGGGGGTTGGTGGAGGGGATAGGGGGGAGGTGCACGACATGCGCCTTTCTGAGGTTTTTTGAAACGCTCGTGGCATGGATGGGCCAACGCAAAATCACAAAATCACAACAAGGGTGCTGCGTGGTTGAGGCATGCAAGTCTGCACCCGGTGCAGGGCAAACCTGGTGCGCCAAGCGGCTCCAGCCGCTGGTGGTAGGCGCCCAGCTCCTGACTGACCACACCCTCCCAAACGCCCACCTCAGGAACAGATCGCAACACGGGAAGAGGCAACGCGGGAGAATTTGTCTAGATGTTGGTTGAACGCTTTGGTGCGCCACTTCTCTGTGCTTCCTCACAGAAGCTGGCATTCCCCCAGGCCAGGGCCCAAGGAAAGAGATTGACAAAGCAGCAAGACTTTCAAGGCTCGCTTCGTGCTGGTGGACCCACTCGCGCTTCGTCTTCTTCGCAACTAGGTATGGCTCTGACTCAAGCCACCTTCTTCGCACGAGATTCCAACCTGAAGCACCACTCCGGCATGGGCATGGCCCTTCTCGTCCACGAAACACCCATGGCACCGGGTCGCCAAAACGACCTACACAAGTCATTCAAGTCATTCAGCCTTTTCTCATGCTCCGGGTGGTGTGGCAAGCGGTGCGGTTTCTGGTTTCATGACTTACACGTAGGCCGTGAAGTGAATTGGAGCTGGAGATGCTTGGTCGAGGTGTGTGTGAGTGTGTGCGTGTGTCAGTGCACACTCCATTTGCACATGCCCGGAACAACCAGGCCGTCAAAAGTCAAGACCCTGACACATGGCGAGTAAAACCGCGCCGAATTGGCGTGCACTTGGTTTTTTCACTCCCAGCGCACCTGGTGATCCACGGAAATAGTTAGAAACTATGTCACCCCCACAGCTGGATGGGGCTGTACCCCCCACCACTCCGTTACTGGTGACTCCTGGTAGCTTCGTGTGTGATTCAGGTCACCGTGGGGGCGAAAAGGATCAACAAGACCCGGAGACGTCACATACGCATGCTGGGCCCTGGCGGCCCTGGGCTCCTCCTACCCCTATAAGCAACGTTGGAATGGACACAATTACTGTAAGAATTGTCAGTCTTGTGTGGAAAAGACTGTTTATTCCACAGGGTGCTCCGGGTGGTTCAGGACCTTGCGGAATCAATTTGCATGCATTTGCTAAAATTAGTCTGCGAACCCCTAAGCTCCGTAAACCTCTCAAGAAACTATTGATTCTGATTTTTACATTAATTGTCACTACTATAGCTGTAAATTGTTAAACTATTGTATTATTATTGTGTTTTTTTTACTGGTGTCAGAGTTCTCATGTCTTGCTAAGTGTTTGTTGTTGATTCTTCCTGTTCATTGTTCATCTTGCGCTTGGCGTTTCTTGAGCAACCGACACAAATATTCCGAACCTCCCGTTGCAGATCCAGGCGCCCCAAAAAAACGACATGGCCTATGGAGATCTTTACATCGGGACTGTGGCCCTGTTTCTAAGGAAGGGGTTCTCCAAAGAAAACATCCCAACACATGTCCAAACCAATGCGACTCGGCCGCGGACGGACGGACCAGACATCCACCCGCTCGTTCCGTGAACGAGGTGCGGGAGTGAAGCGAATGAGCGAAGTGTTGAGCGAAGCCGAAGCAGCATGCACTTCGTTCTTAAGTCCATGCAGGGAGTAGTTCCCAGCCACGGAGTAGTTCCCAGCCAGGGAGTAGTTTAAGCAGTACTTCGTTCTGGCTGGGAACTACTCCCTGCATGGATCGTCCGAGACGACGTATCAAACGACGACGTGTCACCGGTTCTGGAGCAGTTCGCCCTCTTTGCAGGTCGATCGACGCTTTCTCGAAGGGGTTGGGCAGGTGGTCTGTTCTTCCCAGGCCGTGGGGATCAGGAAATCGGAGGTCTCAGGCTGGTACAGCTGGTGTAGCCGTCCGCGAACATCCGCAAGGGGCGAATCAATGCGATCTGGGCCGTGCCCGCAAAACCGGTCGAAGAAATGGTCGAGGAGCCATGCCATCGGTGGCCATGCCACTTCGATGATTTCGAGGAGTGCTACCACTGGGAAGGAAGCGAACACAATAAAAGCAGCAGGGTCTCAATGTAAGAAGCTCCAAAAAGCCACCAAGGAACCAGCAGTCACATGGAGGACAGGGTGCGATTCATGGAGGTAGTTGGGGTTGCCCCCGGTTACATCCACAGCCCCTGGATGGGACGAGCCACACCACTGCTGGAAGCTGGAAGCTGATGCTTGCAGCTTGGTATCTGTCGTGCATTCTTCCCCATCGTTCCCCATTCTTCAGCCGCCAATGCTCAAGCTACGACAGCAATGTCCCGATTTATAAGTCAAAACCCATCGATTCAAGATATTCAAGTAGCCCATTTAGATCCATTGAGCACTGATTCTCTATATGATTCTACCATTCTCGTTTGCTCCTTTGTCTTGCACCCGGTGCAAGCTCGGACTACGGCCGCTTCTTCAAGCATTTGCCCTTCCAGCGCTTCGAGATCCCCTGTGCCGTGTGCTCTCCTTCGCCCGCACGCGGAACCCGCGATAGGAAGCTCCGCGCGACGCACTGCGCGACGTGGTGCGGAGTGCCAAGGCACGATGCGTGCGTCCTGCGCCACGGCGGGCTGCGGCATGGGACCATCATGGTCTGACAAGCCCCAAGCACTGTCCGCCCAAACGCTGCCCTCCTCGTCTGCCTGGTCGCGGCTGGTGAAAGCTGGCTTTTGTTGGCGAGTGGTTGAGAAAATGAAGAGAGGCTGAAGTCAGCCCGTTTGAACCAATTTGAGTTTGGTGATTTCGCACCTCGCATGGAACCTACAGCAGTGCTATGCCATTCCTGCTGTCAAGAAGCCATGCCACGTGGTATATACTTCATTGACCTAGCTGGAGCCAGTAAGACATCACTCAACGACTCAACAAAACGACTCAAGTCGACTCAAGTCATCCTTCGAGTTCGTGACTTCCGTGCCTCAGGCACGCCTAGCACGCTGCTGGCGCCTAAGGCCTCTGCAGGGATGGGGCCGGGACCGGGACCTGTTGAGGGAGACTTCGGGACCGGGTGAAGCCCGAAGAGTGGAAAGGCCAAGACTACCTGCCAGGACTGCCGCCCCAGACAGGCCCCCAGTCAAAGTCCCCCGATCGGCTGTGCCGTGAAGGCAGTCCGGACTGGCCGTCCCAGACAGGTGGTGTCTGGGATGGAAATGGTGTGGTCGGCCAGGGCGCCCTGCATCATCTACCCTGGGCTTCCAACAACCATTGGTTTTGATGATGTTTTAACCGAACCACCAGCTGTTGTACTAGTTATCCTTACACTACCAAAACCCAGGTCAACCGAACTCCGAAATGGCCTGAAGACGGTCCACCTGGCGCCAGGGTCGGACGCCTCTCCGCGTCACGCTGATCACCCAAACCCCACGACTTGGCTTCGATCGACCTCCCTGGAACCGGTGAACAGGAATCGACCGGGTCTGGCGAGTCTCGCTTTGAGTCGCCCGACGGGCAAAAGTCGCTCTTAGAGCGACGAATTCCCAGACACGACGACCTGTCTGGGATTGGCGACTGGATGGTGGGACACGTCCCGAGTTTTCGTCACATAGACACGTCCAGTCTCAACCCCTCAGGGTCGGGATCGTCTGAAAAGGGTGTAACGTGTGGGGCCCTGACGGTCTGGACACCGCAGCTGACCCTGGCTGACCCTCAGCCTCAAACCCCTATCAAGTCACCGCAATGCAGTAAGAGGCGCACATGTATGTGTCCCAAATTCACGGATTCGGGCCCTGAATTGCGTCGACCTACGGAAAATGCTCCCTCCTTCTTTTCTTCCTCCGGCATCGGCTCCACCTCCAACCGGTCGCCTTCAAATCCTTCAAGCTGGCCACCAGCCGCCCACTGCGGCTGGCCGCATCTTCGCTGGTGGCCGCCGTGGAGGGTGTCTCGGAGGTCTGGCGCTCGTCGAAGGCATCGAAGTGAAGCTTCCCTCGCGCGGCACCGCACCGCACGACCGAGGCGAAGTGAGCCCAGGAGATGATGTCATGCGATCTCCGGGGGCAGCCGTGAAGTGGAAGAAAAGACTTTCTCGGATGATGATGAAAGATCATGATAGTGACATACACCAGCACCGAAACCAACAGGTCTCCGACATGGAGGCGACCTTGTAGACTTAAAAGGTCGCAGGCAGTGACCTGTGAAGTCGGGTCCTGCTAGTGACCTTATTCTTGATTTGGTCATGCTTTATGAGCAGCATTTTTGGTGGTGTTTTCTGGGCCCGGCTTTCCGAGCAATGTCCGCGTCCGCCTGTGAAGTTCCTGTTCCTGCCGGTCCCAGTCGTTGCCCGAAGTCGTTGGCCCTTCCCTTTTGGAAGTCAGTCTGTCAGCACCCAAACACTTCATGGCATATTTACATGCACCAGGACCCCCACGAATTGGTTGATGGAACCCCCGAATGTCCTCATACAGGCTCTTTTCAAGGCTACTAACGGTTGATCTGAGGCGGTGACAACGGCATACCTTCCAGTCACGGCGCCCACTATCCATTCACTGGGACTAAAAACCACCCCGTCCTTGTGACTCCTGGTTCCTGTATCTTCCGTCTTGGCATATCCGCCCTCGGTGGCTGCTACATGTTGCTCATAGCAACATGGTCCCCTCGGATGGGACCCTTTCAGCAGCCGGATTGGTACCGAGTGTTCGCATGTTTGGCACCTTGGAAAGGGAGATGACTTTCTAGCATTGAGCCTGGATCAGCCTGGATCTATGTTTTTCCACTATTGTAACTATAGGATAACAAGTACATTTCATACTATATAAGATATATATATATATATATCTGTTGGATTCATGCACACCCAGGAAGCTTAACATGGAACCTGCAAATGGACCTTTGGAAGACTAGCTTCCTCCAACTCCGTGGTTTTTCAGGTTCCATGTGGGTCCCTTGCAGGGCGCTTTGAGGGTGCAGCTGCTGACGCTCACTCCGCCGGCCGACGCCACACGCAGCTCGGCCTAGCCTGGCCTCCCAATCCAACGCGCAAAAGAAGAACCCTAGGGCTCCAGTCGTACCTCCTCGGAAGGTATTTGGACCCTCCAAAGCCGCCCCAGTCCCACCTTCGAAACGAAGTTCGCTGGGGGCCGGGACAGCCTGGAACTCCGACCGGTCCCCCGACCGCCTTCCGTCTCGTCCTTCTCGTCGACCGACGTAGTGCCCAGCGTCAAGGCGCACACCAGGTGCCGCCCCTCGCGGCCGCCGAAGCGCGAGCGCGGCACCACCTGGGACACGCGCGAGCGCGCGCGCCGCGTGCGGCGCGGGGCGCGATGCGGGGCGGTGGAGACGCGACCAGCTGAGAGCGAGGTCGTGGATCTTGGAAAGCAGAGAGCGGTCGAGCGGAGGATCATGGGTGCGAAGCGGAGGATCACGCGCGTTCTTCACCAAGCCGGCACCACAAAAAGAATGACGGACCCCAAAGAGTCTTTAATAAAAAGGGAACCATAAGTTACAAAAACATCCAGATTGCCAGAGAATCCTAAGCAAGCCAAATATAATACATAATTCCAAAGCCATGAAAAGTGCGAGTGGATCTTAATCAGCGAAGTTTGAAGCTATCACTGACGGTCCATAAGCGGCGTAGCGTCGGAACGGAAACCGCACCTTTTCTAGTCGCTTGATCCTTGAGCCAAAGTACATATGGTACATATATATATATGTACAAGTTGCACTGTACGTGTCGCTGCACTTCCATTCGCACCCCCCATGTGAACGGCAACAATATGTTCCGATCACACACGAAAATTTAGGGATGTAAGTGCTACAAAAGAAATTGTATGATTTGCCGCGAGACTCATATGAGGCTCATACTACGAAACATGCTGGACTAAAGCGGACTTTTACTTATAAAGTGTGCAACTATGGCTCAGAACCTATGAAAATCGAATTGAACAAGTGAGACAGTCACGAGGCCTCGCTCAGTATCCACTCAAAAGAGCATCGCTTTGATGTAGATCCGAACTGGTGACTTCCACGTAGATGTCACATCGGCAACTGACTTCACACTTCTCAAAAGATGTAGGTTTTGGTTTGGATACACTTACAGAACGGCAAGTCGGAGAGACAGTCGGTGACTGTCTGCCTTCCATTATGCTCATGGTATCAAATCGTCAATCCGATGATTTGCAATGATACACTTACAGCGTTTCAGATCAGATAGACATCCGGTGAATGACTTCCTCCCTGGTTTGCATGGTATCCTCATAGTCGTTCAAAGAATTCACCACTGGCGATAACCTCTCCATCCACGATGATCCCAGCTGCCCTGAGCATCCCGCCGATCATCTTCTCCCTTCTTGGACTTTCCCTTGGACTTGCTCTTTCCCTTCCCCTTTTCAGAAGGTTGAGGTACTTCGCGACGTTCTTGCGTTAGCGCCGGCCTCCAAGATGTTCCAGATTGGCCTCCTCCTTTGGAATGTCCTCGGGATGATGAAGAAGTTGTACCTTCTGCTGCATGTGCGTTGGCGGCAAGAACTTCCTGCAAAGCTTGCTCAAACACATCGGTAGCACTGGATGGTGATTTATCATGTGGTCTGGCTTTTGGAGCAGCCTTCACCTTGTTCTCCTCTGCTGATGAGGGCCCGAAACTCTTAGGTGCTGTTGAAGGTTTTGGCTCCTCACTTGGTGCTGACGACGGCTTGGCCTCGGTTCTGGGTGTAGATGCTGGCTTTGCCTCAGCTCTTGACGAAGATGCTGCTTTCGCTTCAGACTTAGTCGTTGATGTTGACTTAGCTGTTGCCTTGGCTGCCTGCTTCTTCTTGCCCTGAATCTCCTTGGCCCTATCTCCAAAGCCTAGACGATTGGTAAGAGCTTGAACATGCTTATGTTCTACCACGCTCATCCATCTCTCTGTATGTCCAACGTTGGGGTTTCTGGCCATTGACTCTATGACTTCCTGAGCTTGTGGGGGCAACCTGATCTCATGTTGATCAATGATCAACAGAATAGACTTCTCCCACTTGCTCTTCATTCTCGAGTACATGATGTCCAGAGGATCGATCACCTTGTGATAGGGTGATGTAACGTCGGTTCTAAAGTAAGAATATGTCCGACACCCATAAATCGCATGGATGCACTTCTGTACCAATTCAGTCATTGCGCTGGCTTTCTTCGCTTTCAACTCCTCAAGCTGGGCATCAGTCAAGTTGGTGGGGTATTCGAAGTTACCATATTCCCTCTTGAAGGATTGCGGAGTATGACCAAATGATAGGATCACGAGTGCCACCTTGCAAATGAATTGCTCTCCTCTGAATCGGTGCCAGGCCTCCTCAGTTGTAATATTGTTGTCGTTGGCAAAGATTAACATCATGTCATCCGTTGGATCCAATGGTCTCCCATCGTCATCGATTTCAGTGGAATCCCCTGTACCGAACTTGCTTATCACATCCAATCGCTTCCTTTTCCAATTTGCTTTGAAGTCGGTAATGCTGGTGCAATAGTAGCTCTTGTACATCAGGGAGATCATGTTCAGCACACATTTGACCACATACCTATCCATCAAACCCGATGCATTCATGGAGACGTCCTGACAGTAGGCTCTCTCTTGATGCGCATAGATTCGAGGTTCCGGTACTCGACAATAGATGGGGAGATCTTCGTTGTCTCTTCCTTCTTCGGGATTGAACTCGGTCGCTCCATGCTGTGCATAGTATCCCGGTTCATCACGATCTGTCGGTCGATTCGCCTCCGGATGTAAGTCGTCGGTGACGTCTTCATCCTCGGGCTCACCATCTTGACGTTTCTTCCCCTCATATTGTTGTGTGCTCCTCTGGATCTCGATGATCACGTTTCGTTCGTCTTCATCTTCTAGATCAGAATCACGACCGTAGTCGATCTCGTCCTCATTGAAAGATGGGGTCTCGACATTGTCACTCTTGAAGTTTTCTGCACCATCAGACGGTTTGGAAGGATCTAGATTGTCCATGTCCTCGTCGTCGTCAGCTGCTTCAGTTTGAGCGATGTCTTCTTCCCAAGCCTTTCTGATCTCGTCCATAGTGGCCTGGTCCAAGATATCTTGATCATCATCTTCAGGCTCCTTCTCTTCCTTCTTTTCCTCTTCATCGTCGCTCACAAGATCAACGGGTGAATCGGAAATGACAGTGTTGCGAATACCACACGAGAGTAGCCTGCCTTGACAAGATAGACACACGGACAAAGATGAAGAAGTCAAATGCATACATGATGGACACAAAATATTGCCATCCACGTTGCGATACCCTTCACATGTTCTGGAGATGATTTCGTCCCAAGTTTCCTCACTGATGGAATCCTCGATCAGCTCTCCATTGTCATCGAATCGTACTTCATCGATAAGGGACACGAGCTTTTGGACGTTGTCATCTGTCGCCGAGGCTGACTTCGTGACTTCGTCGGCTCTCTCGAGGATGGTATGCTTCTGAGCAACCCAAAGTCCATGACGTGCCGCTAGAACAACTTGCTCTCCAGTGCTTCCCAGCAGGAGTCTCATCCATGCCTGAACGTAGTCGTCCCAATACCAAGCACCTCGTACACATCTCCATGGAACTTCTCTAAAAACAACAGTGTAGGAATTCTCCGAAATTCTTCCCCCAAGCTTCCTCAAAGTCATGATTGGAACATAAAGGCAAACGGGCATTCCCACTCTTGGCCATCTTGATCTCAGAATCTTTGATGATCGATCATCCCACGGCGCAAAGTGGTTGAAGAAGACACTACCTCTATATCCCTCCGTTCCACCAGGGACAATTCCTAGTTTCATGATTGACTCAATATTGGAAAGCGATGTCATGTGAAAGCTTCCTCCAAGCTGCATTGCCACATTCTCTGGAATGAGATGTGAAGTCCACACAGGATATACTGACACATCCTCTTCAAGAACAGTCTCTCTTCCAGAATTGTGAGAGGCAACAGCTCGAATTGCACAAGGAACGATCCAACGTTCATGCTTCAGAAATGACGGTGCATCTGTGCTGTAATACATGAGGTTTGCCCAGTATTGCCTTTCCTCTTCGAGTGAGACATCCTCCCTTGAGATACGAATGGCGGCAATCTGATAGCGTACTCTGTTCTGCAACTTCTTTGCATGCCACATCGCCTTGCATAAATACTGGTATCGCTCTGTCTTGACATCTTGACGATGCCGATCACCTGAGATAGTACTGATATCGACACCATCGTTGAAGACATGGTCATATTCCAGGATCTCATCGATGTTCACCCATCCACCCTCATTGCACTTCGGGGACACAAGAGGTTTTCGACCGCGGTGCGATTGAATCCCATTATGCTTTCCCACTCCATGCCTGAGTAGTCTATTGAGTCTATGGCTAACCTTGTTGACCCGCTGACTCTCCTCGCTGAACTTGTCGATGCGAGTTGCTGGGTTCATCTTTGGTGGATCCGTGAAAGTTGCATCTCTCTTCGGTCCATTCCAGTACTCCACATAGAATGTAACTCCATACTGTGGAATTATCTCGATGTTTCCTCTATCGCAAGTCACCTCAATCTGCCGATATCCAACCTTTTGAACTTGTTGTGGGTCAGGAGCAAGGTCCTTCACTTTGGGCATCTTTATTCCGAGTGCTGCAGCCTCCTGAATAAGTGCATCAAGTTCCCACTTTCCATTAGGACCTGATCTATCAACCCTGTGATTTGCGACCCTGTACTCTCCTCCTTCTTTGTCATCGGCAATGTCAAAGAGGTCGACGGGCTCTTTGAATCTGGTGACGAAACTGGCGTTCCCAAAGGCCTTCTTGGTTGCCTCGACCGCTTTCGCGTATTCCTCTTTTGCAGAGTCTGACGAGTGTGGTCTACCTTTGGCTCTCGGAGAGTGAGGTGGTACCTTACCTCCTAGTTCCGGCTCTTCTTCGGGAAGTTCAATATCTTCATCATCCACATCCATGTAGTCCTCGTCTTCGACGTCTTTGGATGACTTTGCTTTCCTCTTTCGGCTTTCAACATCACGTCGGATGATTGCCTTGTCGTCCTCGGTGAAGCACTTGCGCATAGTGTCCTCCATGTGAGAGAATGAGTTCATCAACTCGTCCTTCTTCTCAGTGTCGGGACAAATGGCCAGGTGATGTTGGTTTGAACCACAACAATAGCACACCTTTTGGCTCACTGCGCGTGCTCTGACCCTTCTGAGGTTGTCATAGGCGGTTTTCCAGTTGGAAGCGGTTGCTGTACCTTGCCCACTGCGCTTGGCAGCTCTTTTCCGTTCTTCAGTATCTGGATTCGATGTCGGGTA